ATCTAAATGCTGAATGACTTCTGTTCTTCTCATTGGTTAAAACCACCTAATCAAAGCTAAGACATGATGCCAGAGCAAACCCGGCCACGAACGCTGCTTAATGCAGTTACAGCGTCTGTGGATACAGAAACATATGTAATTAGGAAGCAAAGTATAAAACACACGCGCGCGCACACTACTCGAGTTTCAGTGGTACAGTGCAGTGAAATCCATCAGTTTAATGTCTCTGCACGCGGTCCATGCAGAACCCACAACACACTCCTCCCCTCAGCAGACGCTGAATGCTGGGATTGAGCTGTGGGGATGAGGCTGTTTGTGGAGAGAGGTGTGTGGTTGCACGCCCCACACAGCCTGGAAGTGGTGTACGTGTGTGGTGTAAGGACACGGGGAGGTCTCGGGAGGGTTTACCTGGATGACATCACAGCCTCAGTGGAAGTTTCCCTGGTGTCTGTGCCGAGGACTCTCTGAGGCTTACAGTTCCTGTCTCATAATACTACTGAGGAATCAATGCTGAGTCCAGACATGGAAGCAACGGAGGCAAGTGTGCTGCTGCATGCCACATGCAAGCAGTTAACCCAGCCGGCGCCAACAGCAGCTGGACGCTCAGTCGGACAGAGACGGCGAGCGCAGCGACCTGCCGCTGGCCGGGCTGTTGCTGTAAGTGTGCGAGTTGTCCCGGTCTCTGTCCTTCTCCTTGTCCTTGCTCTCGTGTTTGTGCTTGTGCTTGTGTTTGTGCTTATGCTTCTTCTTCTTCTTCTTATGCTCATGGTGATGGTGGTGGTGATGGTGGCCGTGGTCGCCTCCGTGCTTAGAGGAGGAGGAGGTGGTCTCTTTGGGGAAAGATGGCGCGGGTGTGGCAGGCATGGACAGCAGAGCCTGTTCGACAGATGATGGCTCTTTACCTGAAACGAGAAAGTGTCAGATTTAAAGCTGGGGTGTCAAAGGCCCTGCTGGATAATCTGTTCATTGCCACAGAGAGCTGGTTACCTTTCTTTCGTCAGGTAGAGCCACTCATGCATCACTAACAACACAGCAAAACCATAACCACTACACTAAGAAACTGCTGTCGATCTTACATGCTGCACAATAATATTCAATATTTAGTGTTTACTGTTATATTCACAT